AGAGTTCATCAATGCTGTGCCATGGGTCAGTTCTTCATTTCTTTTTTTATTGATGAGCGATATTTCATTATGAGGCTCTTCCACCCTGGATTTATCCAATAGCTGATGGACGTTTGTGTGGTTCCCACTTGTTGGCCATTATGAATAAGAGTGCTGTGAAGATTCATGTAGTCTTTGTGGGTGTATGCTTTCATTTCTCATGCATATCTATACACAGGAGAGAAATGGGTCATATGATGATGCTGTATTTCCCTTTTAATAAGGAACTTAGAGTGTTTTCCAAAGAAGTATAAAGTCCAGTTTACATTCTTGACCAACAGTGTACATTTTCGCCATATCCTTGCTGACATTTGTTATTTTCTGTTTCTTCTTTTTGTTTTGTTTTGTTTTTGCAGTACCAGGGATTGAACTTGGGACCTTGTGCTTGTGAGGCAGGCGATGGCACCACTGAGCTAAATCCCAGCCCTGTTTCTTCTTATTATTACTCTTAGCAGCCCAATGAGTTTGAAACAGTGTTTTGCATTTCTTAGTGACTGAGAGTCTTGAGTATGTTTTCATGTACCACTTTTGTATTGTCTTTTGGGGAATGTCTATTTATCCCTAAGTGCTCTTTTCTACACTGTTTATGGAATTGTTTTCTTAATTTCATTTTCAGATTGTTTATTGCAGGAGTATTTTAAAGATATGAGTGTGACAACTTGCTGAATTGGTTTATTGGTTCTAATAATGTGGTAGTGGATTCCTTCACACGTTCATGACGTGCAGATTGAGATGGTTTTCTTTTTTACTTTCCAGTGTGCATGGATTTATCATTTTCTTGCTCAATTTCTCTTGCTAATGTTGACTAGAAGCTGCAAGAGTAAAAATGGTTATCTTTCTCCTGATTTTAAAGAGAACACATTCAGTTTTTCACCATGAAGTGTTAGGCAAGCTGCAGGTTTTTCATGGCCATCCATTGTAATGTGCTTGATGTTGTGGCTTCAATTTAAATTATTCCCCCAAAGTCTCATGTGTTCAAAGGTGGGGCTTGGGCAGTTGGTTGAGGGTGCCATACTCTCTGATGGATTGATCCTCGCTGAATACGCTGGTAGAAGGTGTAGCCCAGTTGGAGGAGGTGGTTCCGTGGGGGTATGCCCCTGGAGGGTATATATATATCTCTTAGTCTGGCTCTTTTCTGCTCTCTCTGCTTCTTGGCTACTTTCGTCATGGAGCTTTTCTCTGAAATGCCCTTCTGCTATATCATTTATACCTTGGAGCCATCCAACCATAGACTGAACCCTCAGAAACTGTGAACCCAATTAACTTCTCTTCCTGTAACTTATGGGTATGTCAGGTATTTTGTCCCAGTGATGGGAAAGTGACAGATACACTGAAGAAGTTCTCTTCTATTATTGGGTGTATGTGTTTATCACAATTGGACATTGGAGTTTTATAACTTTTTTCATGTTTTTGCAAATGCTGGGGTTTTTATTTTATTGATATGGTATATCACATTATTTAATTTTTAAATGTGAAAGCAACTTTTCATTCCTGATATAAATCCAACTTTGTTATGTTGTATAATCCTTTTTATATATTCATAGGTTCAGCTCTTTTAGTATTTATTATGAGGGCTTTTGCATCTATATTCCTAAGAGACATTTGTCTGTAGTTTTCTCATGATACCTTTGCATGGCTTTAGTATCAGAATAAACCATATCTATAGAATGATAAATGTTCTTTTCTCTGCATTTCTTTGGCAAATTTCTGAATAACTGGTATCTTTTTAAAACTGGAGCTTGAGTAACTCGCCACATTCTCTTAGTATAAATCTCAGTAGTACGAATCAGACATTTAGTCTTCTCCATTCATTCCTCATACTCTACCCCTGGGAGATTTTTGTATATTATAGTGCTGTTTGTGTAAGGTTGATATCCAACCTAGATCTCTCTGTTGAGTTTCTAAACAAAACCCCAATCATTTACCAGATTTCTTGCTCTCCTTATTTTACAAACCTGACCCCATTTCAGCTAATTTTCTCCAAACCTCCTTTTCCTCTGCCTTTTATCTTGATGGTACCACTATTCACCTACTCTCTCAGACTGACCCTGGAGGCCAGTTACAACAGCTTCCTGCTGTGCCATGAATATCAACTCTATTTTCTGCCTATTTCCCTTTCTACCAGTTTATTTCTTCTGGCTGATAGGCTTTTCCACCCTTTCCATGTGGCAGATCCCAGCCCTCAGTGAGATGTTTCCTGGGTTCCAAGCACAATCAGATGCCCACTGGGTTCTTTTCCTGCTTTTGCTTATACTTTATCATAGCTTCTACCTTGTGAGATGTAATGTATCCATCCTGTGCTTTTCTGCCTTCTACTGCTAAGATACTTGACTGGGTAAGCACTGAGTTGCATGGTAGGTAGAAAGTATTTTGTAAATCCTGGTGAAATAAATGAAAGCTCCTCAGGTGGGAGAATATTCTTCACAGTTTGGGTAAGAACTGGATTGGGGACCAGTACGGAGTTGCTGCCCCCTCCTTAGCTCACAAGTGCACATTGAACCTGACACATCCTCCCCTGCCTGACTCCTATTCTTTCAGTTCCCTGCTCCTTAGGGAAATCCTTCCTGACATTTTAGATTAGACTGGGTTCCTTCAGACCTTTGTCTTTCAGCACTTGCTGTGATATAATTCATTAACTATTTCTGAAGTAATCTTTTTTATTTCTGTCTGTTTCACTTGACTCGAGGTTCCGGAGGAGAAATCTGGTCTTATGTCTCTGCACAGTGGCTTCCTGGCCCCTTGCCCAGAGACTGGCCTTTAGCCAAAGCTCAGTAGATATTTATGTCTCTGGACAAATGAGAAACAGGAACCATGATTTTTTTTTTTTATGTTTGGTATTTGCTTTCTATGTTTTGGTTGCCAGCTTAACAATGGAAGCACCACAACACATATGACCACGTACTGAACAAACCCATAAAGAACATACGCTACGGACCAAGAGCTCTTTTGGCAACGACAGTAGGATGCAGAGTTTGTTAAGATGTATTCTCTTCTAACCAGATTCTTACATTTGAGTCTGTAGCTAAATAACTATAATAGCAGGCAAGACTGAAGGAGGAAACTGCCTTCCTCGCAAAGAGGGAGTTTGAGAATACAGAGAGAAACTTCAGATCAGATTCCATTTGCATGTGATTTAAAAAAAAATTAAATTGTGAGACAGTTTGTCACAGTGGTGCACTCCTAGGTTGATCTTTATTATCCCAGTGCATTGAATAGACTTGATCAACTCCTACGCAGGCTTTCCTGTAGTCTTTTGTTGTTAATGAACTTCTTGATATTTTTTTATTTCTTCTCTTAGCATTCATGCTTCTTTAGTTTCTTGGTAGGTCTGGGATTCCCAAGTGCGCATAAGAACAACTGAATGTTCATTGAGCTGTCGTGTGGGAACACATGCATAACAAAATCAGGGGATGGACACGTGGGCGATTGCAGTCTTGTACTTAAGCTGGTGTTCCATCTTCCAGGAGGAATATTCATTGTACGAACCCACCTCCTTCCATTATTAATTAGGTGCAATAATTTTTACTGGACTCTGAAAATGATTTTTTTTTCCTCAGCAGTGCTTATGATCATAGCACAGCTTCTAAGAATAGGAAATTGAAAAGTTAGGACTATGTTGGCCTGCAGAAGAGAATGCATTCTATGTTTCATCTTAACGAATTACTTGTCTAGTTAAAGAAGGTGAATGTTGACTAATTCTCTGCTTTTGAATATAATGTGCTCTTCTTTAACAAAAAATGGGTAAGATGAAAGATATTTGCTAGTTTATAAATGAGTAAAGCACATTTATAAATCATAGACGAAAAGTGATGTTTGTAATAAAACAAACCCCATTCAGTTTTAAAGGCCACTAATAAGTAGTTTATAGAGCTATCCTGGCAGTCTGGGGTCCTTATAATTCTTAAAAATAAAGCACGAGCCATCATTTAATCATTTGCTATCCAGGTCCATCTGCACTGTGGCAGGAGTAACGAGTGTGGCATTGTGACCAGTCCTTTCTGCAGGTGAGCTGAAGCATAGCCTCTGAGGCTGTGGCTGCTTTTGCTGTGTATCCTAGCCTTTTGCCTCACCGGCTGAGTGACACCAGGGATATTACATTCCCTGTCCCTTCTTTTTCCAGTTTCATCACTGTGTAACGGAGATAATGACACCAACTGCTTATAAGGTGGTGAGGGTTTCATGTGTTAATATAAACATTCAAATATGAAGAGCTTTCACCTTCTTTGTTCCCCCTCCCGGTATATGAGAAGAAAAACGTCATACATGCTTTTCACTAGAAATATGCGGTACTTTTGTAAAGCAATGAAGATATTCTGAGATTATTTGTGTGTGTGCATGGGGTGGGGGTAGGAGAGAGGAAAAAGAAAGAAGGGAGAAGAGAGAAAAGGGAGAGAGAAGAGGGAGAGAGATGTTGTCTGCCTGGGACGTGGTGATTTCCTGTCTGGATTCTGTGTGTCTTGATCCGACTGCATCCTTTCTCTAGGCGCAGGCTCTATGTGTGAGCCAACTTGCTCAGGATCAAAGTCAACACAGACAAGCAGATCGACTCCAGTTAGCCACTGGGTACATTGGCTACTCCATAGAAAACTGAGAATTGACCGAACTTCTTGGCTTTAGAATTAATACAAATTTGTAATTGAAATCTGAATTGCTCTTATGTTGGAAGAGTGAAAGCAAATATAATCCCCTCGCTTTTAAAATGAGCTATTGAAGTCAAGTGAATTTTTTGAATTATTGCTATTATTATTATTATTATGATGATGATGTTGGTCATTTGAGACAGGGTCTCACTATGTAGTTGAGACTGACCTAGAACTCACTGTATAGCCCAGGCTGGTCTCGAACTCACAGCAATCCTCCTGCCTGGGCCTCCCAAGTGCTGGGATTACAGGAGTGCGCCACCACGCCCGGCTGAGTTTTTTATTATTATTAATTCTCTCAACATCTGCTTTCTTTTTTAGGCATCTCCCCACAGATAATCGGAGCCCTCAACATGCCCGAGCAGAGCAACGACTACCGGGTGGCCGTGTTTGGGGCAGGGGGCGTGGGCAAGAGCTCTCTGGTCCTGAGGTTTGTGAAGGGCACGTTTCGGGAGAGCTATATCCCCACGGTGGAGGACACCTACCGACAGGTGATCAGCTGCGACAAAAGCATCTGCACCCTGCAGATCACCGATACCACTGGCAGCCACCAGTTCCCCGCCATGCAGCGGCTGTCCATCTCCAAGGGTCACGCCTTCATCCTGGTCTACTCCATCACCAGCCGGCAGTCGCTGGAGGAGCTCAAGCCCATCTACGAGCAGATCTGCGAGATCAAGGGGGACGTGGACAGCATCCCCATCATGCTGGTGGGCAACAAGTGTGACGAGAGCCCCAGCCGCGAGGTGCAGAGCAGCGAGGCCGAGGCCCTGGCGCGCACGTGGAAGTGCGCCTTCATGGAGACCTCAGCCAAGCTCAACCACAATGTGAAGGAGCTGTTTCAGGAGCTGCTCAACCTGGAGAAGCGCAGGACTGTGAGCCTCCAGATCGACGGCAAGAAGAGCAAGCAACAGAAGAGGAAAGAGAAGCTAAAGGGCAAGTGTGTGGTCATGTGAAGGCCAGCCCACCGGTGCCCGCGGAGGAGCCGCGCGCCCGGGCGCGCCCCTCCCAGCGCACCTTCCCTGTCCGGGCAGCATGTCTCATGCCCACGTGTGACACTGCACCTGCCCGAGTGCGCCCTCATGTCCTTACCAGGGCGGTCCACACCGCTGCACCATTGGCCACCCCTCTCTGGAGTCACACACCTGCCAGGCATTAAAAAATCCAACAGCTCAGGATCCCAGGCCAACTGTGGGAGTTGCCAGCCACTGGCTTGTGGGTGGCTTTGGCTGTTAGGAGGTGGGAGGGCTAGACCCAGGAGAAGGATGGGGGGCTGTGTCACCTACATGTGTGTTGAAGTGTGTTAGCCCAGAACCATGGGCTCCACACCAGGCATCTCCCCCTGCTCAGAAGTCAGTAGCATCTTTGGGGGATGGGTCAGAGGACCAGCTGGTCCCAAGTGGACACAGTGGTTCCATTTCACAAGTTTTTAAAGGGACCCCCAAAGGATATGTGTTCCCCATGCATTCCCCTTTTCCCGCCCCAAGGGGATGATTCGCCTCCTGTAGATCTAGTTAGCACGCATATTGTTAGCTGAGTAGAGCACTTATTTTCACATGCAGTGATGAGCTCACTAACCGTGTGCTCTTGTGTGAGAAAGTTCTTTCATTTTTGAGTAAGGGTATCGTGACAATAAAACATCGCAATAATGTTCCTGTGTGTTGTACTGAGGGTTTTAGAAATGTGAAGTTTCTTTCCTTTGGTCTGAGGGCTATGTCTTCTTTCAGTCCTCAGATTTTAAATAAAAGCAAATAAAGTAGCTATTTTTAAACTTTTTTGTCCCTCTAAGACAGATTTCTTCTCTCATAAATGACTTGATCTGTATCCAGCTGGATAGGATCCAACAGAGGCCATCCAACAGCCAGAAGCACATCCATTTTTCTAAATGACACGAACATGTATGTGCCACAATTTGCACCTTAATGAAATACTTTGAAACAACATGTTCACTCTGTTTTCGATGATCTCTCTATATTGGAAATGTACTCCTGGAAATGCATTTACTTATTAGTTCTCTTGCATGTTCCATTATACTTGTCCTCTTAAGAGCTGTTCAATGCAGTATTCACCCTTGACACAATTATCTTCCATTGATTATATGTATATCCTTAACTCTTCCAGCCAAATTATAGTCCCTCCTGGCTCCTGTGTGCATCTCATGGCAGACTATGGTGGCTGCAAAGAGGTCTGGTATTCTGTTCTAGGCAGAGCCCACTCCACTTAACCACTCTGCCATCGTGAAGTCTGGTTGGGCTCTGTTTCTTGAAAATTCCCACTGGCAGAGCCTGAGTCTTCTGTTTCAGTTGGCAGAACACAGCCACCCAGCCTGCTGGATTGTCTCTTGGCCATCCTTCCTATTGCCCACCCAGCGGGAGGAGGAAGCTGCGGTACCATGTGGGCCTGCAAACAGGGCCACTTTTCTGTTTGGCAGAATGCCAACTCTGGGCCGCGCTCCCAAGTTGGGGAAGTTGCGTGTACCACCTTCTGCACCTGCTGTTTTTGCTGTTCTTTCTGCACCGGGCTTCCTGCAGCAGCCACATGGCCACCTTGGTCCTGTAAGGCACACTGTGCTCTCAGTAGATCCTGGTTCCCTTTGGCCCTTTCTAGGGCAGCTCTCTTGTTTGGTCTCCTCCTCTTAGCACACCTTAACTTACTGTGGTGATAATGTTTACCATGTGGGAGGTGATTTTTTTTTCCCCTCTGCTGCTCAACTTTAATGACTTTATTTGCTTCATATAACACAAAAAATGTATATCTTAACCTTGTTAAATATATAGCTGAGTGGTATTAAATGCATTCATAAAAGCATACTACTCATCTCCAGAATGTTTTCAACCTGCAAAATTGAAACTCTGCATTCATTAAACAGTAACTCCCTGTTTCCCCTTCCTTTGCATTCTTGGCAAGCATCTTTTATTTTCTTTTTTTCCATTAAGTTTATTGATATATTTTAGGTATACATCGTGATCATATTCAACATTGGGAATTTGTACCTTTACAAGATGTAACTTGGTTCTTGTTTCTTCCCCATTACGCTTCCACCCTTTCCACCCCTCCCTATTTACAAGAATTTTATTTCTGTTTTTTTCCTTCTTTGCTCATATTGTTTTCTTTCCTTTCCCTCACCCCTCTGTCTCCTTCCCCTTGCCCACTGATCCTTTTCTTCCTATTTTACATGATCTATTATACATTTTGGTCCTCATTTACACTTTTAGTTTCTCACACCAGAGAAACTATTTGGTATTTACATCTGTGTGTCCTATTTATTTCATTTGAGTATGGCCTCAAGGTCCATCCATTAAGCTATAAATGTCTGTAGTTTATCATTCTTTATGGTTGAATAGTACTCACATTTTATAGATAACACATCTTCTTTAACCAGTCACCAGTTGATGGGCATTTACCCCTGGTGATATGTTTACCACATGGGAGGTGTTTTTGAGAATCACCTGGCTTCGTGTTCTTACCATCATAGTTGTCTGGAACAACGTCACTCCAGCTTTACAGGAAGGGGACATTTGTAGTGAGAAAGGAGAGTCTTGGAGCCAGCAGGAAGCTCAGTGCTGGCTAGTTCCAGGCTCTCTTTAAATCCCTCATTCTCAGTGAGATCTAGAAATTGGCTTTTCTGCAGCATCTCTTCCTGTTTGTCACTACGTTGTCTCTGTCTTCTATTCTCAGAGATTATCAGTTTGCCTTTTGGGTATGAGCAGAGTGGAAGAGGCCACAGAACCTCACGACTAATGGAGTGCATAGATTTGGGTAGGTTCTCTGCTAATAGTAAACTATGATCTTCACCTCCGACTGTAAGGTTAGTAAGATTTTGATTGTGAGTGCTTCCTACTGAACATCCCATTCCCGCTGATCATGAGCCAAGGTTTCCTTTAGTTCTTCGAAGTAATTTTCTGCATTTTTAACTATTTAGGGATATATCAATACAAGAAGCTTGTAATGAATTAGAATCAGATCTCATTCAGGATAAATTTCATCCCTTCATGTTTCATTCATGAGTTTAGAGGCTAAGAAAGCCTCCACTTTCATTCTAAGATCATTTCCTATGAACTGGATGAAAAATACCAGAGCTTATCTCAACATCATCTTTTAGGAATCCCCAACTGACTCAGGGCCTGCAGAGTTTGAAGAATTAGTATGTACCACTGGGTCAGATGGCTTTCAACATTTGTTTGGTCCCATCCCAAATATGGAGTTTTAGTTCTTTTTTTTGGCAGGGGGGTGTCCCGGGGATTGAGCTTGGGTCCTTGCGCTTGCAAGGCAGACCACTGAACCACTGAGCTAAATCCCCGGCCCTTGGAGTTTTAGTTCTTGAAGACACATCCTACATTGTACAAAGGCACAGAAGTTTTTGACCCAGACCCAGTAAGTTAAAAATTCAAAATACTGCTTTAAAGATGGCACTGTGGGATTAAGGATGGAGCTCATAAGTTCCCTTCTGTCTCCACTGGTCTCCTCTCCACCCAGTGACAAGCCATGGGCATGCATACAATGCAGCAAGACCAACATAAGAGCAATATTGAATTGTTCATTATATCTAAAATTATATATATATTATATAATTTATCTTCCTGCATTTTTGAAGTATAGAGTAGTAAATTGTACATATCTATAAGCTAGTATATTTGTTTCACTGTTTATAATAATATTTAAGAAAGACTCATTCTTTGTAGAACAAAAACAAATGTATTAAATATTTTTAAACACTGCTCTGTGATACTTTTTCCTCCGAGATTTGTAGTGTGTTACTCCTATGCGAGCTCTCTGGAAATCCCATTAACTCATGGGCCAATGTAAATCCTTGACACATTCTGGAACTCAGTAGCCCAGAAGGCTGTATGTATTTGCAGAGCATGACTTTTGTATGTGTGGGATATCAACATGTATATATTTAAGGTATATCTATTGTTATAATTACATTCTCTATTATATTTTATTTACTCTCTGGTTATAAAAGTCACCCTTGCACACGAGTTTCTAGTTGCAGTGACATTCTGAAAACGATGGAACATGTTACAATAAAGCTCAGTTATGACACTCTGGCTGTAAGGTGGTGATGTTTCTCAGTGGTGTAGCTGGTGTGCGATGGCTTTGCCCTGCTCTCGGCCAGTGGCTGACCTGTGCTGATCACCAGCCTGTGGGGATCTCCGGATCTGTGCCCACTGTGGGTGGAAGACAGCAATCGGCCTTGTGCTGTGAGTTCTTTGTCACTGTCCCTGTCATCACAGTGTGTACCGAGCTCATGGTTCCTCAAAAGTCAAGGAATGAAATTGCAAATCAAAGGCAGAGACTGGGAGAGTTTTGTTGGAAATAATAAAAAGAATCATCTCCTTCATTTCCCAGTGGGTGGCCACTAGAGTCACTTACAGATAAGCAGAGCACAGGCATTGCTCAGTTGTTTAGTGGTCACCTATCACAGGTAGCACAATGAATAAAATGACCAATTGAAACATGGGCTCTTCAACCCAGTAGTCTCACATGCTCACATGTAGCATTTAAAGAGAACTGGTGTTTTAGAAAAAGTCTGGTTATTTTGCATTTTAAGTCCCTCACAACTCAGGAGCCTGGCAGGAGTGGCTGCAGCTCCCTTTACTAGGGAAGCGGGCTGCATCCCCTGTTGCCTGAGAAACATCATCCCTGGTCCAAACACCTAGGTCCCTCTATGGTCATTTCAATCCCCATCAACATGGTTGATCACCCGACTCTACCTCAGGCCTGTCCCCTGGCTGCTGCTGCTGCCTCAGAAGCTAAGCTACCTTCTACTGTGTCTCTAGGGGGAAATGAAGCAGGTATTTCAGCAGGAACAAGTGGAAGGGGAGGAATAGAGGAAAGGCTTACCTGGCTCAAATGAGAGGGGGAGACAAACCCCTTGTGTTTCAATTCTGCACCCCTCCCCGCTGCAGGGTATTAAATGAGGCTGTGATAGCTCCTAGCATTGTTTCAGGCATGATTTGTACTTGGCCTTTATTCCTCTTTCTCTACACTGTGAAATCTTCATTTATGAAACAGGATGTGAAATAGGAAGAAAAGGGCTAAAGGAGTAGAGGAAGTGGGAAGGGTAGAGGAAAGGAAAGAAAGGAAAAGAAAAAAATGGAAACAAAGTCTTTATAAATAGGGAAGGGTGGAGGGGATAAAGGGAGTACTGGGGAATGGGGAAAAAATAAGAACCAAGATGCATCAGGTACAGGTACCAGATTCCAGTGATGAATGTAATTATACTGTACACCTAAAAAGTACCAATAAACTCAAAGAAACAGGAAACACAGACCAGAAACTACAAAGAAAATCCTCACTCTGCCAACTGAGTGGCTAAGCGATGGTAAGTAGGCTGCTAACCATCTGTGCTTCTGCAAAATAGGAATCATTAACACCTGAAAGCTGGGCCTCCCTGAGGGTTAAGGATACCCTGCTTAAAGCATGGAGGGCTATCTTGTCACAAATGGAGTTTTCAAGGAAACAAAAACCTGTTGTCTGGGAAGATTCCATGTAGAAGGTGTTGCAGTGCAAAAATCAATCTAAGCAAATACAAAAACCACTGGTAACTTTCCATTTCTCTAAGTCTCTTTGCAGCTTTCTAATCCCACTCTCTGTAGGCCACTTTCCACTACAATCCTTGTCCCCTTTCCATTTCTGTCCCTCTTTCCCCATAGTTATTGCCACATCATTCAGGGTTTTGCATTTCTGGAGATAATTAAAATTAGCAAGTCCCATTATGCCCCATTGCAGGGCATGCAGGTTCTCATCAAGCTTTAATGTGCAAATGAGACAACACATCAGGGTCTTGTGATTCCAGACTTTAAGGCAGCTGGTCTGGGTGGAGCCCAGGATTCTGTGTTTGCAGTAGGTTCTCTGGTGGTGTTGGGCCCACAGAGCACTCTGAGAGCAAGGCTAAAGTCCATTTATTCTCTAGTGTTGCTGCACATTGGAATCACTTGGAAGAGTTGTTAAAATTACTGGTACCAGATTCCTCTCTGGAAATAAAAGCCCTCAGGCCATTGTGGAATCCAATATAAAAATCACTCCCACCCCTTAGCTAAGTTTAACCGGGAATGTCTGCCAACTCCCTCATTCTCCTCTTCCTAGTGGAGGAAGGGTTGCTTGTTCAATCATGTTCCCCTTCAGTGAATATTTTCCAGGAAGCAAATAGGTGATATTGGTGTGAGTCTTGGCCTTCTCCATCCCCCTCCTCTATCATAGCATCTGCCAAGGTCAACCATGGAGGAAACTGAATCCAGCATAGACCTCACACCACCTGTACTACCCATGAAATTGCACCAGTGCAAGGTGTGAGGTTGTCCTTGGTCTTGAATGTGAACCCCAACATCTATCAAAAGCACCTCCATTTGTCCTGACCCGGTCCCCGTCTGGCTTGTGCTCTCAGTATGGTGCATGTTCCATTCTTGGTAACAATTCTGGTCCCTCAGGGCCGGGGTCCCTCTGCTGACTGTTGCTCTTCTGGATACCGTGACAGTGTGCTCCCTGGCCAGGCTCCTCACTGTCCATACTCAGTGGCAGTGGTATGGTGTATTCACTTGATTCCTTTGCCCCTTAACACTGGTTCTGCCCAGCTGCTGCTGCCACCTCATACTTAGCCATGTACATATATGCCTTCATTGATTCACTTTTCTGGATTTTTCATTCACCTTCCCTTTCCTTCTCTGTTGACTTCTTCTTAACCAACAGAGGTCTTTGTTCATCCTGCTCTATCACAAGCTACTATGGGCTCACATAGGCTGACATTTGCCTCTATCATTCTTAACATAACTTCTTTTCTCATGGTGTATGATGTGGTGCATGAAAAAAATGTTACAAAATCATAAAGATCAGGTAAACTAGTGATTATAGGCACCACAGGCACCATAGTTATTATCATCATTATGACTTTTTTGTTTTATAACCTTTCACAATCATCTCATTGCCTCAAGCAGCATGGA